GTATGAATCAAAAGCTACAGAAATAACCTGAATGGCAAAGTTGTGAGGCCCTGCAACTTTGCAGGATATGAGGAGAATAACATAATCCTGATTATGCATTTGTGATACTTTTACTTGGAGGGATGTAAAAAATCTCAATCTTTAAGAAATTACTTAAATTAGGGCCAGTAGAAAACTGACTATAAATTGGCTATAGATACCAGATTTTCATTGCACTAGTTAAGTTTGAACAATTAAGGATTACAGTTTCTATTTTATTAGGTGTCTGGTTTTAGTCTTTGTGTCTTTTGCATCAAATTAAGGTGAATATAATTCTAAAAATATCCATCATTTTTACTGCTTCTTAGGTTGCTGCAGGTCGTGAATGGTACATTCACACCATCTACACAGTTCGCTCCAAGGAGAATGCTAACAGAGGGATTGGAAAACGCAGCTTAGAGTACCACTCTGTGACTTCCACAAGCAATGATGTGGCCTTGACCCCATCCAGTTCAAAAGGCCACCGCTGGATGAGGTCAGCTGCCAATAAAGTTCCTGAAATCGCTGAAGATATTGGAGTGGATAAGAACCGTGGTACTAACATCATGCACATAGCTCTGGATCGCACCAAGCGTAGGTCAGTGGGGCCAAATGAACTCTTTGCTGATGGTCTGGAACCCAGGGAGCTGCATGCAGATGACGAAGAGGAGGGTCTGGTAACTGTGGTAGGGGCGCTGATCGGCCTCCTGCTCATTGTCCTCATTATTGTCTCCATCGTGCTGGTGCTCAGATCCAGACAGAAGGATGGGAAGGAAGGATGGAGGGAGGGCGTGCAGGAAGTGGTGAAAGGGTCTGTCAGTACAGAGCCCATGTTGGTGGTGAGGATGCAAGACTGCCGCAACAGCTCAGAGGTCTGAGCAATGAATGCACAGACAGACAGATGGACATGTAGGAAATATATGGGAGCTTTTATAAGTTTTTCTTTGAAATATCTTAAAAAATATATTTAAAAAATGGCATTAAATTGCTTTCATAACACCAAAACTGAAGAGTCATCACGTATGGTATTAAGTGTGCCTGTAAATGGGGGTGAGCTCTACAGTACAGAATATATACTTATCACTGCAACAGCAAAACAACAACATTTAAAAAAAAAAAAAATTTAATACTCAGACTTGTCCTGCAAGTAGCGTAATACTGCTGTGCTCGCTGAGTGGCTTTGTGGTGTTAAAGTGCCTGAAGCAACTACATCCCTTCAGGACAGCCCCAGTCACCCAGTGAACATTTACGATAAAGCGTCACACAGGACAAGTTGAGAGCTTTAGCGCCGCGGGTGTACCTCCGGGAAAGGAGGCTAGATATTAACGATATGTGCATCAGAGGAAAGAATATTTCATCTCACAAAGAACGCTCTGATGTTTCCTTAAAAAATATGAATGATAAACTATCCCATCATTTCTGCAGTATGCTGAGGATAAAATAGGTTAATGTACACATGCTGTGCAGCTGAGGTTGTTAGAAACTCCATCCACTGGTGGGAGATAATAGAAAACAAAAGGTAAATACTGGACTTCTGTGAACTAAGTGTTTGGCTGCAAAACTTTTGCTGTATGAGCACATTCATGTTAAATCTGGGGTGAACTGTGCCTTTAAGCCTACAGTTTAGTCTTAAGATATTTGTTGGGGCAGTCATAAAGACAAGATGGCACCACTTGTGTTTTATCTGTGAATTAAACCTTGCAAAACTCTTATTATCAAACTCCAGGAATTGAAAACAACTACTGATATAATTTAATGTTTAATCACCAGCTAAACTTTTTTTTTATTCCTCCACCATATCTACTGTTCCTCATCATGTTTACCATATACCGAAGAGTGTTTTCCTGCATGTATTTGGCATCTCTGTTGCTCCTTTTTATTTTAGTTTTTTAAATATTACTAGTACAGTTTTGACACTTTAGTTTTCAGCTGATAGCACAATGTTCACTGCTATCACTGCTATCCTCACAGTGTTGTTGCTCTGTGTTTTTCTAATACTTTCTGTCATTTTGAGGGTTTTTTGTTTGTTTGTTTCTTTATTTAACACTGATTAAGGTACATTTGTAACGAGACACTCATCTCAGGAGTTATTTCTTTTACAAAGAATGGACTGTGTGTTATAACACAATTTACTACTGCTGACTGGAGAGCTCTCCAGAGCCACTTTCAACGTGTGTGTTACACTGCTAATAAGTGTGGTGCTGTGAACATTCAAATACTGTATCCATATCCAATGACTTAACCCCCTGCTCTTCCCACATTATGTTCATATTACTTGTCACTAGTGTTGTGTGGGATTTCAGTGTTCTGACTCATTTTGTTTTTCCCAAACAAATGATGCAAAGAAAATAGCTGCTCACAGATCAGTATGTCACTATGGAAAATATCACATTTGAGACTTTTGATATAATCTCATAATTTTGTCGATGTCACTGGTGAAGGTTCTTGTTTATATGTATTGTTAAAACTATGTCTTACTCTGCTATGAATATACGACATGCTGATGTACGTGTTCCTGAATATTTGTCTTCTTATGGTGTTGTTAGTCATCCTTGTATAATTATTTCTACTATTCATCAGGGTTAGTTGATGTGCTGGACATGAGCCAGAAAGCAGCTGAGGTGTGAATCCTCGAGGTATGTCAGGATTTATACATCTGATTGCCAGCTGCGTGTGTATGTGTTTGTATTTTTCTATTTTTCGTTTCCTTTTTTAATTCTACCCTGATGAACTTGGAAATAACACCATATTTGGTATCAAATGCACTTTTCTGCATCGCCTCCCTCACACGCCACTACTAGCTATGCAATGTAATGTATACCCCACAGCCAGTTATTCCCATAATATGACAAATTTAGCACAATCAGACTTGATATTTACTTTGTGTCTTTTTATGAATGGGTTTTTATGTATATGTATTTAAGAATAAATACTGTTTACCGGTGCCTTTTGTTATTTTCATTGATTTAATCAGTACATTTAGGTTTAGAGGTGGGGTGGATCATATGAACTTTAGCGGCTTTGATACTTGATTTGACTTCACTGCTTTGAGACTGAGAATGCGTTCCCCAAATTTGTCTCTGTCATGTTAAAATCATCTGTTTTACTGATTTATGTTCATAGAAACAAAAACATATAGTGGAGGAAGTAATTATTTGATGCCCTGCTGAATTTGTAACTTTGCTTACTTATAAGGAAATGAACTCTCTCTCTCTCGTTTTTATAGTAGTTGATAGAATATCAATTAAAACAAAAAAAAAAAACACACATTACATATAAGTTGGTAATTTGTTTGCATGTCTTTGAGCAAAAAAAGTATTTTATCTCCAAGCAAAACATGACTTAAAGCTTGGTGCAAAAACCATTGTTGGCAAGCTTAGCAGTAAGATGTGTCTTGTAGTTGGTCATCAAGCACATATCTCAGGAGGGATTTTGGCTCACTCCTCTTTACTGATACTCCCTTAATCCTTCAGGTTTCTTGGCAGCCACTTGGCAAGTTGAAGCTCCAGGTCTGGAGACCCTAATGCGCTTCTTCTTTAGGCCACTTCTTTGTTGCTGAAAAAAACATCCATCACTAACCCATCTTCAGTGTTCTGGCTGAGAGTAGGAGGTTCTCGTCCAAGATTTTACACTACATTCCCCCGTCACTAGTCCCTCAATGCGGTCGACGTATAACTTGACCAGAAAATCAACCCCAAAGCATAATGATTCCACTTCTGTGGACTTGACTGAGGGGATGGTGTTCTTTGAGTCACACTCAGCAGTTCTCTTCCATCAAACATGATGTGTCAAGTTGATTGCAAGCTGATCGAGTAGAGCTCGATTTTGGTTTAATCTGACCATAGTACTTTCCCACAACAATTCTCTGAATCGTTTAGGTGTTCACTGACAAACTTGAGTTGGGCCTGTACATGCGCCTTCTTAAATGGGGGACCCTGCGGGCGCTTCAACATTTCAATCCAGTTATTCATGTTATACAGGAAAACATGTTACCAGTGGTATTCTTGGTGGCTGTGGTCCCAACTGCCTTGGGCTGATTCGTCACATTTCTCATAATCATCCTCACCCCATGAGGCAAGGGCTTGCATTGGATCGCCAGACTGAGGGCGGCTGATAGCCATTTTATACTTTTTTCATTTACAAAGAATCACACCAACAGTCACCATCTCACCAAGCTTCTTGATGATGGTCTTCTGGTCTATCCCAGTCTTTTGCTGCTCTACAGTCTGGTCCCGAACTCCTTTGGTCTTACCCATGATGGGGGGAGAGGTTGGAAGATATTTATGCTGTGAATAGGGGTGATTTATACACATAATGAGTTGAGATCAGTACTATCTCTATTTAATTGACTGATTAATTGATTAACTGTAATCTATGTGCCACGTGGGCACACAACCAATTGGTGGGAGCCAGTATTCTGGCTGGGTTGTTGGGGATCAAATACTTATTTCACTCAGTGGCATGAAAATCAATTTTTATATAATGTGTTTTGGTTCTAGATTTCTAGTTGATATTCTGTCTCACCATTAAAGTGAAACTACCATAAAAATTAGGGACTATTTCCCCCACAGTACTAGTAATTTTCCATTTGCTATCACAGACTTAAGAGCTTATTTGGACTGGTGAGTAATAAGTTAAAGTAGCTCAGTTAGCAGCTGACCTGTAAGCACACACATTGTTAATTCACCTTCCTAGGCAAAGTAGGAACGATTAAGAAGGGAAAAAATGGCACAATTATGACTGTCAGTGAAATGAGTTAGGCTCCACAATGTCTGTAGGGGAAAATGATTTAAATGCTCCTCTGGGAAGCAGTAAAATAAAAGTGCAATTTGTGATTTCTTAGATTGAAGACTATGGTTCATTTGACTGCTGTGCCAATAAAGGGTATATAATTGAAATACAATTGAATAGAGAGAGAGTGAAAACTGATTGGCTGAGAGCGAAAGCGACACTCCACAAATGTGCCCACTTCCCTCCCTCCATCCTCTTCCTTCACTTCCTGCAGTGGCAGTTCTCCGCTGCTGGTTGGTTTGTAAACATGGCGACTGCTGGTGCATCTGGAGATGACCTGAGGAAGGAACTGACATGTGCTATTTGTTTGGACTTCTTCAAGGACCCCGTTATTCTGAAATGCGGCCATAATTTCTGCCGCTTTTGCATCTGTATGCACTGGGATGAAAATGGCGGAGACTATGGGTATCAGTGTCCTCAGTGCCGAACGGTAAGTTAATACATTATATACGCCTTTTTGTTTTTCTTTTTTGAACCTCGTCTGAAGGCAAATACAATAACACGGCGGTGCCAGTGTTTCTTCCAATGTCTTTTTTTTTCTTTTATAAATATCTACGAGAAATAACACCGCGTGTTTGGCTACTGCTTTTAAAATAACGGATACCTACGCAGTGCATTTTGCATTTGCTAGGATAGCTGGTTGTTGTTGTTGGTGTTTTTTTTCCTCCTTCCCTTAGCTAACGATAGTCAACCTGTCAACACATGAGCTGGCAGGTTAAAAGCTTGGCTCCAAAAATGATATGATGTACGCAACCTTGTGCTTGGTTAGTCGTCCTTAGCTTCTTTCTTTATTCCGTCAGGTGTTCAACAAGAGGACTTTCACTAAAAACTATCTGGTGCAGAACTTGGTGGCCAAACTGGACGATCTGGAGTGCCTGGGCGCTTGTCCTGCCCCCTCCAAGCCTGTGAAATTTGGTGAAAAGTGTGAGCATCATGGTGAAGAGCTGAAACTCTACTGCCAGACCGATAAGAGGCCTATCTGTGTTGTCTGCAGGGAATCTAGATCACACAGGTTGGGATTTATGATTGACTTTACAAATATCACACCACAGCTCTGTGCCCTGAAAAGATTTTATTAATGACAGATATTAGTACACTGGACAGTGCGAACCAGATTTTTAGGAATAATAAGGGGGCGATGTAAAAAGCACCATTTTCATCTTATGTTTTGTGTCTGCCATGCTTAATGGTATTACCTTAATATTAGCAGAATAATTTCACATTTTTACTCTTAGTTTGTGGCTTTGTGGGGTTTTTGTTTTGTTTTTGCATTCTGTATCGCCTAAATAACTTTCAAGCATTTACTAATGTAACCAGTATCATTGGAAATTGGGACCCATAGCATGACTGACAGCTGCTTATGACCCCACACCAAGCTTGGGAAGCACTGCAGTATATCTGCATTTCATAGTAAGATCCCAGGAGTGTTGTAGAATGAGGTTTTTGGCACTAATGTACCCAAGACTCATTTGGAATAGAATTCAACTTTATGGTCATTGCACACATCACAGGTACAAGGCAACGAAATTTGGAAGAATCATTGTGAATGCCTAGTGTACGAGTGTCCATCTGTGAATTAACTTTAGTTTGAGACCAGTATTGAGGAGGGGCAGCCACACAGTGTGCAATGACCTCAGCAAGACATTAAGCCAGCGGTCCCCAACCTTTTTTGCGTCACGGACCAGTTTATGCCCGACAATATTTTCATGGACTGGCCTTTAAGGTGTCGTGGATAAATACAACAAAATAAAACTAGTACCGGTACAGAAAAAGAATTTATTCATAAAACACGTGAAAAGACACAGGATAACAAAATAACGCTGAAAACAGATTTAAAACCCTGAAAACTATACATTTCACACCTGAGCCTCAACTCTCGCGGCCCGGTACCAAACGACTCACGGACCGGTACTGGTCCGAGGCCCGGGGGTTGGGGACCGCTGCATTAAGCGACTTATAGCAAGGGCAGACAAAGTGGGTGGGGCTCACACATAGATTATATAGAGGATGTACCTCTGAAAAGTGAAGCCAATGCAAAAGTGCTTTAAACATTTTATTTAAATATGCACTGGGGCATGTTGGTTATGGTTCTAAAAGACTTCCCATCTTTTAGAGCTCTATAGGGGAAAACTTCCCTCTGCCACAACTGTTAATCATTTTCTCCTGCATTTCTGGGTTTGGTTGCTCAATTCAGGTCATACTGTAGGCGAAACAAATTTCTTTAACTACATTTAAGTAGAGGAAATGCTGATTATCCAAAATAAGCTAACTTGTCAATGAGCATGTGGTGGTACCTAGGCAACCAGAGCCTGGAAAGTCTACTAGTCAACTACAAAGTGTCTGCAAAAAAGCAACTTAAAAAGTATCTTTATCTTCAAATAACTGTTCAGAACTTTGTTTAAAAGAGTTTTATAAATAAAGTTATTATAAACAACTCGAGGATGAGTGCATTGGTGCTTATGTGGACACGCCTTTAGCTGACCAAATGCACATGATATGATCCACATGATAAGCTTTACAAATGTGTACTATGGTTTTTGTTTAAACTTCCACCTATAAATGATTCTCTCTCTGTGTGGGTGTGGGTGGGTGGGGGTGTGTGTGTGTGGGTGGAACTTCTACTAAAAGAATATAAAAGTATAACAGACAATTTGAATAACCTAATAATTCAAATAGCCTCGTCTAACCTGCTCCTCAAAATAACTTACTCTGCTTTCACTTCTGCAAACTCTCTGCAACTTAGTCTTTCTGAAAGACACACACACTGTTTAAACCTCTGAATACAATATCAATGCTGTAAATTATATTATTAATGCAATAGTAATGATGGTTATTTACCAATAGCAGTAAAATAATTTCCCTGCTCCACAAGATCCACAAAAATAAGCTATGTTCAAATCCCAGTGTAAAACTGGGACATCTGGCCTTCCATTGCATGCATATGGGTTTTTTGTTTTGTTTTGTTTTTTTTCTAAATAAACAGAACAGCTGGTAATCCCTTTTACAAGAAAATACGGATTTACAATTACAGACCCTACAGAGTAGCCTGCCACATTCTGAAATGTTAAGGATAATTAATTACGCTAAAATCAATGTTGGCCTGATTTCATTAGAGAATGCTCAGATTAACAAAGGATTTATTCCACTTTATCTCAACTATATCTGTATTCATAATATGGAGCATATACTTAATGCAGAGGATGGTCTCAAAATTGGAAGCAGTTTGTTCGCACTAAACAAAACAACTACCATCTTCATCTCATGCGGCCTCCTGGCGCCAGCTGGATGCTCAAGGCAAAAGCTGAATAACAAAATTCTCCTTGGATAACAAGACTGACTCTCTCCCCCACCCCAAGGCCACCCGCATCGACTAAAGACTGTTGACTTTTGCCTAACTGGGTGAAGGGACACTCTCTCGGCTGAACACATATGTGCACTGACACAGACCTACACTCAATTACACCAGACCCTACACCAATTTCCCTCAGGATGAATAAAGTATTATCAATTTGTACACAGAAAATTTTACCTTTCGAAAACTTATTGGATTTGTGAGCTCAACTTGACTGTGTATAACTGATCAGTATTTATATTTTATTTATTGAAGCACATGCTCATGAGTCCATAAGTTACACACACAACATTGCACACATTTGTAAAGCTTAGTTTATGCTTGTGGATCATATCATACACTTTTACAACCCTCTTGAGGCAAATTTGTCTCCATATTGATGTCATAGCCTTCACTTTTGTAATCTGTCGGTGACCTGATGTGACACGAATAATGTTCATTGATTAAAGTGAAAGATGACTGAAACCTAAAACTGGTTGTGGCTAGTTCCTGTCTTAGGTATTTACGAGTAACTTTTTAAACATTATTCATATAACTAAAAAAAGGACTTGCTGAAAACTTTCAACCATTCTAATCCATGAGAGGTTCTAAAACTGCTATTTTTCTGTCATAGCAGTTTCCCAGTTAATTCAAACGACAAGAAAAACTCCTTATAAACGACACACTGTGCAAAACAGATCATATGATTTGTGTTTATTTGTTCCTTTTTATCCTCAGATGAGGAATTGTGTAAAATAACATTTGCTCTGTTGGATAATTATATTGTGGAAAGTTAATCCATTGGGATTTGTAAGAAACACAATCTAAACATCTGTCTGAAAGGAAGTTCTAGATGACACAGTGAGTCCAATGTTTATTTATTTTTGATTAAAACAAATTGTTCTGTAACATGCTGAGTGTTTCGTTTCAGACACCATGATGTGGCACCAGTGCCAGAAGTTGTAACTGACATGAAGGTAGCAGTAGTGTTTGTTTATTTATTTAAGTAGTCTCCTATTATGTATTGGTAACCTAGACTCTTATTTACTGCATCTCTAATATTTGCACTGTTGCCCTGCTTTCCTGACTACATGTCTTCCTGTACATTTGTTACAGATGGAACTGAAACTGAGGCTAATGGAGCTCAACTGGCAGAAGTCTCAATGTGTAAAAGTTGTTACGGCTGATGAGCTCACTAAAAGTGAACTGAGGGTATGGAATGACCGTTCTTACTTGCTCTGTTTGTGAACTTGGTGTTCAAGTGGCCATTTTTGCATATTGCATGCAAACATTCAGTTGTGCACGGTGAAATTTTAGTGGACTGCTGAACATGCATTTCTTGAGCATTCGTCTTAAAGTTATGTTAACATTATAGTTCTGGTCAGTCAATATTATTTTGGTTTTTTTGTTGGGGGGCTGGGAGCCTTGCCAGGATGACTCTAGCAGATTCTCAGTTCTGTTTATTCCGCTTTGCTCAGGCTGACGTGCTTGTTTGCACAAATGACTCTGCCATATTATTTGGAAATGCATGGTCACATTTAAAAGTTGACTTAAACCACAGATCGTGTGTCATTTATACTTTAAACCAACAGTGTCGTTGTTTGTGGTAGGCATCACTAGAACTGCAATGTGACCAGCGTTGGGTATAATGCGTTACTGTAATTAAATTACTTTACCACTGAAAAAGTAGAGTAACTGATTACTGTTCATTTTTAGGTATTTTAATTAGTTACTTACAATGTACTTGCATTACATTATAAAATTAAAACTCGCTGAATATCATTTAATTTCAAAAATTTATCTTCTAAACGTAGAAGTAAACTCTGCCGCTTTAACATCGCTGTAGTGCAGGTGCACGTCATTTCGTGCCAGTTTGCTGCGTAGTCGTATTCTAAAGCGGAAGATGTCGGACTCGGCTGAAGCGAGTGGCTGTTTTATGAAATGGACATATTCCTGTCTCTTCACTCGTCTGAAACAAGCAGACAAGAACATTACAGTAATGTGTAAGCTATGTCCTGGGGAGGAAAAAAAAAAATCAGCCGCTGTTAATACCAGGAGTGATCTACTGAAGCGCCTGACACGAGAGCAGAGACGAACACTTCTGACTGATCCTTGTTCATCATCCATGGATAACACCGCGGCAACTCCTGCTAAGCAGGCAAAATTAGATTTTACTTCAGCAGCACAGAAAGCATCTGAAGGTGAGCTTAAAAAATGATTGCAGGCTACATTTTGGAAGAGATGCTACCGCTGCGTACTGTAGTCTCAGTCTTTAAAAAAAATAAATAAATAAAATAAAGTTATTATTTAAAGAGTTTAATTTCTATTGTTTGTCCACTCAAGGTTTATAGGGTTTTTAAGAAGTGTTGTAATCTCCCAGTTCTTTTAATCTTTGGGCTGAAGGAAGGACAATACTCGGTGTATAAATGCTCAATCAACAATCATTTATTTCCATACAATTCAACACACAGAGCATTAAGACATCCGGACGGGAGAGATGCGCCCAGAGGGCCAGGCACATGTCTCTCAAAATGGTGGCGATTTTCACAGACTTTTATAGCTTCTGACAGCCCCCACCTAGTCATAAAAGCTACATCTTCACATGTTTTTCTACTTCTTAGCGAGACTGGCTCCTGACCTTGCCTCCCTGTCTTCCTGCAAAGGTGGGGGTATAGAATGTGGTTTATCTCTTCTGCCCTAAACTCAGTCTCCTTTCTCTTCATGATTCAGCAATAAAACATGTCAAGAACACAGTGTGAGACATTCACAGCAGATCAAGGATACAGAGTGATGCAAATTTATCTAATAAACTAATATGTGAATATGTTCTGTTAACTCAAGAGTATAATGAGAACTAGACTGCATACACAGCACACCATCTAAACTAAAGGATAATACATGTCCTACAGCTGTTAACATAATTCAACTACATTGACTATGGTCATAAAATAACATGTTTTACTCATAATCTTCACAGAAGTATTTAGATTAATTACTTATTGAGTAATTAAGTAACTTTTCCGACACAGTAATTAAGTATTTTAAATACAATATTAAGTAATTACTTACCCAACACTGAATGCGACACATTTATCTTATACTTTTCTTTTGCTCTAGTTGAAAAAGCAGAGACTCAAGGAAAAGATTGAAGCAGACGTCGGTGCCTTGGTCCAGTTTTTGCTGGACGAGAGGGACTCGCTGCTTGAAAGCCTGGACGCTGAGGAAGTGGCCACCATGGCTGTTATAGATGACAACTTGAAGACTGTGGAAACGGAAGCAGCAGCTGTGGACAAAGCTATAGCAGCTATCCACAGCCAGATCAATGGAAAAACTAACTTTGAGGTCAGTTGACTTCAAAGGTTAACTTGTAAATTGTCAGGCTATGGCATAAGAGTTGGATAACGTTGTTGCTGAGTTCCCCATCCCAAACCCTTTTGCTTCAAAAAGGATAAAGCAGTATTCTTAAGAATGAGACTGTCTTAAATACAGCTTTGGCAGGCCTGTAACATTCCTTTTTATCAGGCTTCCTCTGTTAAAAGCTGCACTACCTTTTTGTGTTAATGCAATCATGCTGCCTATGACAAACATGTGCCCCCTTTTATTTTTTTATTTTTTTTTTAAACTGTACGCAAAAGTGAAAATGCTTGTTTATAACTGGGTGATAATCATACATTTTAAAGCTGAAATAAAAGCACAGCCATTGTCTTTAGGTTAACAATGCGATGGGAAAATTTGGTGCACAGAGTTGTAGTTATAAAATTAGACCTAGGAACACGCCCCTAGTCAACCAGAGTAGCCTTAAATACTGTTTACTGTAGATACTCAGGAGCCCAAATTGTTGTATTTAAATATCACATGGGAAGTCAAACGTGAAGTAAAACCCCACCAGCAAATAGCCGCCATCATCCAACATTCTTTATTTTGACAAGCTTCTCCAAATTACCATTAAAAGCAGAGTTGCTGTGGATGTGAGCGTACTGCGTGGCCATTCATCATGCAAAGCCAAACGGTCATGAAACTGGTCTGATTTCATATTCTTATAAAAGGACTTTAAATATTAATTTGTGATAAACTGCAGACACCCTGATGACAGTTTACCACTGTGCACTAAGGATTAAGGATCAAAGCATCCTTAAAATGGCATATGGGCACATGGGGCTGCTCAAAGCAACAGAAATGTTATGAAACTTGTTTGTTAGGGTTTGAATTATACATTAAACCACAAATTAAGTCTTTTCTTTCTTTTCTTCCCCCCCTGCAACAGAGCCTTGCAGAGACATTTAATGAGTAAGTAGCTTTTTGTTCATTTATTACAAAAATGCTTTACAAAAACCCAGCATGTTAATTTCCATGTTTCTTCTGCAGAGTTGTACAGTGCAAGCCTTTCACCTCTTTGGAGCCGGTTAACTGTCCGACAGAATTTACAGACTTCTCAGGGCCCTTTCAGCTCATCATGTGGAAAAAGATGATGCACGTGCTGCACACCAGTAAGTTGAAGAATCATGTACTGTTAGTGCTTAAGAGATGCTATATTTGAACTGTAAAGACTGATTTTTAGGCATGAGGTCGGGCATTTTCAGCCTAAAGCTTGCTGGATGGTGAATATATTAAAGTCTCTAAAGAAACCGCAGTAATGCAGATTAACTTTTCTGCATGCTTTCTTTTTGTAACGGGTTACTGTCTAATAGGGCTGCAACTAATGATTATTTTTGATAGTCAACTAATCTAAAAAAAATTTTCTGCACACAGACTTTTATCAGTCCTAATAAGGATATGATTTTTATCAGCTTACAAATGATTATATTTCTAAGCACAAATGACAATATAAAAAAATATCAATTCCAACAGGCAGGTTGTCTACCAAGTCTGCTCTTTTAAAAATGTAGTATCAGGTCAGCTTAAGACTAATGTGATTTAATCTGTCATGGCGTCTCCATAGTGCCCCAGAACCTCACCTTGGACCCAGACACCGCTCACCCGAACCTGCTTATCTCGGACTTTGACACCAAAGTGGAGGAGGGCCGTGTCCGCAGCCAGGAGCCAGACCTGCCTGCCCGCTTCAATCGGTTCTGTGGCGTCCTCTCCACAGCCCAGTATGCTAGTGGCCAGCACTACTGGGAGGTGGATGTGAGGGACAAAGGTGTGTGGTACCTGGGAGTGACCACAGAGTGCAGCAACAGGAAGGGCTTCGTCAGCCTCACACCCTCCGCAGGATACTGGAGCCTGTGCCTGCAGGACCGGCTGTACGCCAATGGGGAGGACGGACGCATTCCAGTTGCCGACTACTGGAATTCTCCTCGCGTGGGTGTGTACCTGGACTATGACAACGGGCGTCTTAGCTTCTATGATGCTGTAACAATGAAGAGGCTGTACATGTTTGACACCTGCTTTGAGGAGCCTGTCTACCCTTTCTTCAGCCCAGGGAAAAATGACCCAGGCAGCAGACTGCAAATATGCCACTATTACTGAGAGTTTAAACAAGTTTAACGCCTGTGTGTTCATTTCTGCCTGTTGGCAAGGCTTTATCTCATAGATCAGGCTGGAGTGATAGGCTGATGTTGACCCTTGAAGTCATGTATGCTTTTGAGTTGTCTTACTGGTTTTTAGAAAGTACATTTTACATTGAATAAAAAGTACCAGGTGTACACAAATTTGGTAGTTTTCAACTTGGACACACACTGTAGGCTCATACCACCTCCTTTGGCTGGGGGTTTGGAGAAGTGCTTTGCTATTCATCACTGTGTCTGCTGGGTTGCAGATGCCTCGGATGCTCTTGTTGTTCAGAGCATATTCAGTGCTGTTATCCCGTTAGCAACAACTATGCCATACTTCTACTACTATAAAAGCTCACTCTTAGAAGGGTCAGTGGTGAAGCATTGTCTGGTATAGTTTGACTGTCTGTTGTTATCATGCTACATTCCCTCATCAATATGAGACTGAACACTCAATTTTGTCCATATTGTACTGATTTTACAATTAGACTTCCAGGAATGAATGGAAGTGGCAACATCCATCAGTACAAATCATTTTATCACAAACCTTTTAAACACTTAATTTTATATAAGATGATAAAAACGTAAAGTTGCACGCTTGGCATTTTTGGACTTTTCCCTCTGTATATTGC